AAAACAAAACAAAAACACAGATACCTAAATATTTCCTGCATCCTTAAACAGGACAGAGTCAGTATTACAATACTTTAAGAAGACAAAGAATGTCTGATGTGGGAAAAATGCTTCATGATAAGAGTGAAGTATTCAAGTCTGGCTCCTGCAGATGTTGGGGTATAGTCTGAGAAGATTCCATGGGCAAAAGGCCATGTAAACAGCAGCCCTAGAACATTCCAGCCTTTCAAATGGGTGGCAGAATGTATTGAAGGAGACTCGAGAGGTAAGAGAAGCAGCAGGAGGCCCTAGATGATATAGACTATGTAATTTTACAACAGATAACATAGAGGCCCTGGCCCCCTGGGGTCATTTTTCCATAATTCAACTGATTGCCAACTGACTAACCACTGCCCTTTTAGAGCATGTTCTTGGTATATAATGAGGCTCACTAGCCATGTGACCATAACATCCTTGACTTTTTATAAAATGGTTTAACTCATTGTGTAATATGCAGCTTAAGGTCTCCTGAGGAAGAGGGCTTTTAGCATTAGGAGACACTGACTTTGTAAATTAAGAAGTACAACTGTCCTGCTTACAAGTTTTTGCCTAAATTGTCCATTTGTTGACAGTGTCTCTACCAACCATTGTGTCTTGCACCTGTGGCTTCTCTGCCTTTTCTACTGTGACTGTACTGCAACATCGTGATTGAGAAGAACTACATACATATTTGGTCATTCAAATGCGCAAAGTGTATTTCTCATAAAGATCTGGTTTTCCTCCACAGTTTCTGGCTCACAGCTCCCAAAACCTTGCAATTTCCTGAGTGATAAGCATCTTTTGTTCCAATATTTGGGTCCTAGTTCTGGAAATCACTTCAGAGCATGACATATAAAATGGGGGTCTTGTTATTCAACACAAGCTCCTTTCCACCACAATTGGGATTATGTTAATAAAGGTGACTATTAACACATTGGTAAGCACCTGAGGAGGGGGCTGGCTGCCCGGGGAACCAACCTTGAATAAGGGGATGAAACTTTCAGGGTTACCACCTCATTTCTGGAGAGCGGTGGTGATTGAATCTATCATCAATGACCTAGAAGTTCATCATGATTATATAATGAAGCTTCCATAGAAACCCAGAAGAGGGGGCTCAGTTGGGGGACAGAGGATTGCGTGTTCCACAGTGATGGCCCCAAAGTCCTCTAGAACGGAAGGTCTTTTTGTTCAGGACATTGCTGAATCATATCATTTATAATAAACCAGTTATCTAGTAAGTAAGACGTTAGAGTTCTGCAAGCCACTCTAGCTAATTAATCAAGCCAAGGAGGGGGTTATGGGAACTTCTGATTTATAGCCATTTGTCCGAAGTACAGGTGACAACCTAAACTTGCCACTGGCTTCCTGAGTTAGAACCTCTAGTGTGCAGCTGGTGGGTCAGCAGCACAAGAGCCTGGGCCTATCACTGGTATCTTAGTGGAGGATAGTCTTGTGGGGTTGAGCCCTTAACCAGTGGAATCTAACATGACATTCAGATTGATAGTGTCAAAACTGAGTTGAATTTTCAGAAATGCTATTGGTGTAGGGAACCCTCCATGAAATTGGGTCCAGGAACCCACTTAAGTATGAACCCAATTCTGTGCATTTTTACTGTAAGCCATTGTGTGCGCACACATGCATGTGTGCATAAGAGGTGCAGCATAAATACAGAAATCGCAATCACTATACCATTACACTTCGGGCTGCAGAGCCACCATGAGGTTGAGTCTCTGGTCTCTGGATACTGTGATCTTTCTTAGGTCCCAATACTGTTAGAAGAGGTACCACATTCCCCACTCTCACTAAATGCAGGCTCCTCGAACTAGCTGCTGGGAGCCATGGGGAAGCTGAGACGCTAGGTAAAACCACATAACATGGAAGGCAGACAGTCTGAAAGGACAGCTCTTGCTTCTGCCACCTGACTTGCACGCAGGGACTTGGAGGAGACATGTGGAGGAGAGCAGTATAGAGACACGTGGATGACAGACACACGGAGGCAGAGACAATGGCAGCCATGATCTTGACTTGAACTTTGATTTTATTCCTTTCATCACAGATTTGCCTGATCCCTTTCACCCCCTTCCTTGGATCCCCACCAGAAGGTACCTTAAATTTGTGGCAAGCTTTTGGGCCTAAGTGGCACTACTTTGGGTGGACTCTGTTTAGCTGGGCATCTGCCCACAAGGGGATGGATAATTGGGGTGTTTTACTGAGAAACAACTGGTAATATCTTCTCTTCTTTTCCCTTTCAACGCATACCAATTCTATTAAATATCTATCACACTAGCAGTATGCGGCAGATGGCAGGACCCCACTTTATTTTTTTTTAAAGATTTATTCATTTATTTATACAAGCACTGGGTACGGTCAGAAGCGCAGGAGGGTGAGAGAATTCACCAGAGCCAGAGCGGGGAGCAGAACAGGCAGACCGATGAAGTACACTGCTGAGGGGAGCAGTGGACGCGGCAGGAGAGGTCTGTGCACCATGTGGGCCGCTCGCAGGGATCAAAACAGCGCCGCACAGGCTGCAGACAGCTTCGCAGACCAGAGCTCAACTGTTGCACCACCGGGGAGGCCCAGAGGTCCCCACTTTACAGCATGTACCCAGTTTGTATGGGCCCCCCGGGTACCCATTGGTTACATGCTAACAATACCTGCTACTGCTGGATAGTCTACTGGCAAAACTACCCAACACATGAGACATTTAAGACTGGAAAAGCAAGGGAAAAACTGCTCTTATTTCTGGGGACAGACAAAAACGTCATAATTTCAGGAAGGAGGTCCAGCCCTAAAAGCCCATGGGATGGAAGAAGGCAGGAGGAAGGCACAGGGGTACAATGTACTTCAATCCTCACATCACTCAGGCGTGGGAGGAAAATTTCATTCCTGTTCTCCATGCCAAAGAAGGGGTGAGATGGTCTCCAAGTGTAGCAGTCTGGCTTTTATTCACCTGTCCATCACACACAGGTTGGAAGGTGCCTTGTGAAAATTCTGAGTTATTAGAAAGGAAGCCAGCTTCGAAAAGATTACAGTGCTCCAGAGAATGAGTTTCTCTAGTCTCTCTGAAGCAGTTTTGCAATTGAGTATTTAAACCCAGTTCATTTTTTTTAAAGATTTATTTTTGTACAAGAACTGGGGTACAGGCCAGAGGTGCAGGAGGGTGAGAGGATTCACAGAGTGAGGAGCAGAACAGGCAGACGGACTGAAATACATTGCTGAGGGGAGCAGCGGATGCTGGAGACCTGCTCCAGCAGAATGTTGTGTCAGGAGTTCCTGAAAGGATGAGACGGCATCGGTGAAACTGAGGGCTGAGGGGAAGGGAGAGGTCTGCCATGCCATGTGGGAATCTCCCTGGCCCGCCGGGATTGAACCCGTGCTGCAGAGGCTGTGGACAGCTTCACAGCGCTGCACTCAACCCGCTGCGCCACCAGGGAGGCCCCAGGCCCAGTTCATTTTCTTCCACCGATATTACCTCCTTGAAATACACACCACAAATTAGATTATTCCAGGAGCTTAACATTTTGAAACAAACTCATGATCAGAGAGACAAGAGTTTACCTCGAAGTTAGAGGAAAGAGAAAACAATATGAGCGGTCGGTCAATGTCATATTTCCAAATATTTGAAAACCTTGGCACATAGTAAGTGTAAGATTTAGAAGTAGTTTGTGCTGTAGTGGAATAGGGATTTGAATTGATGTGGGAGAGATGGGTCTCCATCAGACAGGAATAGTTTTTACTTAATATTTAAATGCAATCTAGCACTTGGAGTGCTAGTGTTAATATATGGCCACGTCCTGTCATCACAGGCCCATCAGAGGGTCTACCAGGCTTCATCTCTAGGCAATAGCATAATTTCCTTTCATCTTCTAAGTTTCCCATCTACCCCCCATTTAAATGTGATTTTCATTTCTTCTATTGATTTAATTTTTTTTTTTAGAGGCATGTTTTTATTTATTTATTTATTTGTTTGTTTTTTGTTTTATACATGCACTGGGCACAGTCAGAAGCGCGGGAGGGTGAGAGAATTCACCAGAGCCAGAGCGGGGAGCAGAGCAGGCAGAAGGACCGAAGTACACTGCTGAGGGGAGCAGCGGGCGGCAGGAGAGGTCTGCACGCCATGTGGGACCCTCCTCCGGTGGCCGGGGAGCAGCCAGGGATCGAACCGGCGCCGCAGAGGTCGCCGGCAGCTCCGCAACCCAGCGCTCAACCGCTGCGCCACCGGGGAGGCCCCTATTGATTTAATTTTTAAAACTCTGGGCTTGGGGAGAAAAATTAGAAGAGTAATATACTCATTATTTGCAAAGATCTGAAAGTGACAGGAAAAGTCTTCTCATTTTGATGTATGAATGTCACTGTACTGCCTGCTGGACCATAAACAATGTATTTGCTAGATTGGAAAAGGACCTCAAAGGGCAGAGAGAGAAAGAGAGAGAGAGAGAAGCTAGACAAACTACATGGCCATTTTCTTTGGCCATATTGGACAAGTGCTGTGGTGTGACGGTCTTCACTGTTGACCTTAAGGAGCCCTGTAACCAGGATGACACCAGTTTAGCGGCCAGGCCACCCTTCCACCTGTCTGCATTCTGCCCCTATGAGCAAGCTGCAGCGACAGCACACGACTCCTCTCAGAGCCAAGCGCGGCCTTCATCTCGCCGCTCTTCTGCCTCTACCCTAGCGCTGCCTGGATCCTCCATGATGGGTCTTTGGGGGTTAACCATCAAGGTCAGGTCCTGAAAACGTTGGGATCTGGACGTCCCAGCCTGTCCAATCAGCGAGGCCACGAGAGGACTCGCAAACCTTTTAAAATGGCCCTTCCGGGCCACCAGCCACAGGGCGTCAACGGTCGCCCGGGCCACGTCAGACAGGGCCCTGTTGCGTGTGGCGTGGCGTGTTCAACAGCAGCCAATCAGGGGTGAGCGCCAGAGGGGCAGCCAATGAGGGCGCTCAGCGGCAGCCAGTGAGAGGCGCGGCCTGGTGAGGCGGCCTTTGCTGAGCCGCTCTCGAAAGAGGAAAACGACCGTTGGCGGCAAGCTGGAGGGCGAGCGCCATAGTCGTGCCTCACTGGGCGGTATCACTTTGCCTGATCTTCGCATCAGTCTTTCCTTTGGTGAGTCGGCGGAGCTGTCCGCAGTGGCAGGGGCTGGGAGCCTCGGCAATTTGGGGTCAGGAGGCCGGCGGCGGTCGAGGAGCGAGTATGAGGCCGGCTCCAGCTCTGAGGAGCCCTCGCCTCCGGCACCTGCGAGCGAGAGGAGCGAGATGAGCGACTCGAACCAATCGGCCGGGGCCTCCTCACCTCCCAGAAGCGCCACGGGGTCGCCACCCCAGAGGCGGCCTGTTCTGAGTGGCACAACGGCAACCAACAACGACCTTGCCAGTCTCTTCGAGTGTCCGGTGTGTTTCGACTACGCCTTGCCACCCATCCTGCAGTGCCAGAGTGGGCACCTGGTATGTCACGACTGCCGCCCGAAGCTCTCGCGCTGTCCGACCTGCCGGGGCCCACTAGGCTCCATCCGCAACCTGGCAATGGAGAAGGTGGCCAACTCGGTGCTGTTCCCTTGCAAATACAGCCCTTTCGGCTGTGAGGTAGCGCTGCCCCCTCAGGAGAGGGGCGAGCACGAGGAGTCCTGCGACTACCGCCTCTACCCTTGCCCCTGCCCGGGCTCGGCCTGCAAGTGGCAAGGCCGCATGGACTCCATCATGTCGCACTTGGTCCAAGAACACAAGTGCATCACCACACTGCAGGGTGAGGACATTGTGTTCCTCGCCACCGACATCAGCCTATCCGGAGCCATAGACTGGGTGATGATGCAGTCGTGCTTCGGGTTCCACTTCATGCTCGTTCTTGAAAAACAGGAGAAGTACAATGGGCATCAGCAGTTCTTTGCAATCGTGCTGCTGATTGGAACCCGCAAGCAAGCCGAAAATTTCACCTACCGACTAGAGCTGAGTGGGTCAGAGCGGCGACTGACCTGGGAGGCCAAACCGAAATCCATCCATGAGGGAATTGAAACAGCCCTCATGAAGAGCGACTGCCTAATTTTTGACACCAATGTGGCACAGCTTTTTGCAGAAAGTGACAATCTGGGCATCAATGTCACAATTTCCAAGTGTTGAGCTTACCAGCTAACATCTGCTGGCCAGGATGGAGGGGGCCAGCCAACATCAGCTGGCAAGACGGAGGGAGCCAGCCAACATCTGCTGGCAATATGGAGGCAGCCAGCCAACATCTGCTGGCAAGATGGAGGGAGCCAGCCAACACCTGCTGGCCAGGATGGAGGGAGCCAGCCAACACCTGCAGGCCATGATGGAGGGAGCCAGCCAACACCTGCTGGCAAGATGGAGGGAGCCAGCCAATACCTTCTGGCAAGTTGGAGGGAGCCAGCCAACACCTGCTGGCAAGATGGAGGGAGCCAGCCAACATCTGCTGGCAAGATGGAGGGAGCCAGCCAACACCTTCTGGCAAATGGAGGGAGCCAGCCAACATCTGCTGGCCAAGATGGAAGGGGCCAGCCAGCATCTGCTGGCAAGGTGGAGGGAGCCAGCCAACATCTGCTGGCAAGTTGGAGGGAGCCAACCAACACCTGCTGGCAAGATGGAGGGAGCCAGCCAACATCTGCTGGCAAGATGGAGGGAGCCAGCCAACATCTGCTGTCCAGGATGGAGGGAGCCAGCCAACATCTGCTGGCAAGATGGAGGGAGCCAGCCAGCATCTGCTGGCAAGTTGGAGGGAACCAGCCAACATCTGCTGGCCAAGATGGAGGGAACCAGCCAATATCTGCTGGCAAGTTGGAGGGAGCCAGCCAACATCTGCTGGCAAGATGGAGGGGGCCAGCCAACACCTGCTGGCAAGATGGAGGGAACCAGCCAACACCTGCTGGCCAGGATGGAGGGAGCCAGCCAGCATCTGCTGGCAAGATGGAGGGAACCAGTCAACATCTGCTGGCAAGTTGGAGGGAGCCAACCAACACCTCCTGGCAAAATGGAGGGAACCAGCCAACAATTGCTGGCCAGGATGGAGGGAGACAGCCAACATCTGCTGGCCAGGATGTAGGGGGCCAGCCAATATCTGCTGGCAAGATGGAGGGAACCAGTCAACAGCTGCTGGCAAGTTGGAGGGAGCCAACCAACACCTGCTGGCAAGATGGAGGGAACCAGCCAACACCTGCTGGCAAGTTGGAGGGAGCCAGCCAACATCTGCTGTCCAGGATGAAGGGAGCCAGCCAACATCTGCTGGCAAGTTGGAGGGAGCCAGCCAACACCTGATGGCCAGGATGGAGGGGGCCTGCCAACATCTGCTGGCAGGTAGGAGGGAGCCAGCCAACACCTGATGGCCAGAATGGAGGGGACCTGCCAACATCTGCTGGCAAGTAGGAGGGAGCCAGCCAACAACATCTGCTGGCCAGGGTGCAGTGGCCTGCCAACATCTGCTGGCCCTGGTTTAAGGACTTTACATTCTGTGAACCAACAAGGCATCCAGATGCCTGCCAGCCCAAAGCTTTTGGTGGGTGTAAGCTATCTATACACATGAGGAAATAAAAGCAAAGGCTGTTCAACAGTCACTAGTTGCGTGTTATAGTAATGTATTTAGCAATAAGGCAGTAGTTAACTGGAATATACATGTACACACCCGGATGGGATCTTAGCATTAAGGAAACATTGCAAAGCAATTCTGAATTTGTTGTATATTGATTAGATAATGAAAATACTGGGTTTTACTTTCCCATTTCCACCCATGTGTAAATGTGTGTGAGGTGGGTGTGTTTGTGTTTCTCCCTTTAACCTACAAGCCATGTTAAGGGATCTTGGACCACTGCTTTTCCCCTTTGTGAGTCAATAGTGCTGCTGTGCCTGTATACTTTGTATGTATATTTGCTAATTCTTACGTATTCTAGGTTTTCATTAATTTGACTTTCTTCTCTGTAAAATAAAAACAAAGTGGTCTTCCCCTAGGGCAATGATTAAGAAATATGTTAAGAGTCCCCTGGAGAAATTCATGACCCCAGGGTAGGTATTTTAACAGTTTTGCCAAAGAATAGATAAGAAGTTTTCTCACTTCTACTTCCTCCATGTGTTGTATTTAAGGCTCATTGGGTTAACATCCTTCTCCATTGTAGCGTACACCTCACACACCCCACAAAACTCTGGAATCTGGATATGTGCCTAGGTAACTACCATATTGTCACCCCTATCAGTTGAAATTTATTAAATAGAATTTACATAATTTGTTAGAAAGAATTCGTTAAATTCAATGCAGAAACAAACTCACTTTTCCCTTTGTTTCTGTAAGAGACACTTTTTTTTTTTAAAGATTTATTTATACAAGCACTGGGTACAGTCAGAAGCGCAGGAGGGTGAGAGAATTCACCAGAGCTAGAGCGGGGAGCAGAGCAGGCAGACCAAGGAAGCACACTGCTGAGGGGAGCAGCGGGGGGGGGGGGGGGGGGGGGGGCAGGAGAGGTCTGTGGGACCCTGAGGGATCGAACCGGCGCTGCAGAGGCTGCAGAGGCTGCCGAGGCTGCCGAGGCTACCGACTGCCTGCAGCTTCGCAACCCAGCATTCAACCGCTGCGCCACCGGGGAGGCCCAAGAGACACAATTCTAAAAGGACTTTATCCTTCATTTGGAGTGAAATATAGTATAAAAGCATGCAGGGTGTTTGATTACAGGTATCTCCAGCTTTTCGAACTTCGTTGCTATGTCAGTTCACTTTTCTGAAAGACATGCTTTAATACCTGTTCTCACTCACTGAAAGAAATGTGAAGAGGATTTCCGCTTTATGACACAAGAAGGAAAGCAGAAATAGCGTTATGTGTCCCAGCAGTTGTTCAAGATGCGGCGGTATCCAGAGCAGCGAGGCCCCATCAGGCTCCCTCCCCTGGAACTACTTTGTACAAGTTGTGTATTTATCACAGGTTGTGTTTTTACTAGATGGTAGTGTTATCTGAGAATTTTTGAGTTATCCATTATGATTTGGTATGTTATATTTGTGGGAACAGGAATGCTCAAAAATTTTTCTGGTTCTTTATACCATTTTGACTTATGCAAAGTTTCATAATAATGCTTTACTTTTGGATAGTGGGGGAAACCTGCATTTTCACAAAGGGTCTCATTTTCTCAGATCTCGCTCAGAATTCTTCAATAGTGCTCTCCTGTCTCTGAAGTATAACCTAACTGTAGCCACCTAAACATCTGTGATCTGCTTAGACTAATCAGTCCTCCCCTTTTCCCAGTACATGTCAGACGCCGGAGCTACTCAAGAACACCACCCTCAAAATGCTATACTCTCCGCTTTCTACTTTCACATACCATATCTCAAAATGACTTCCCAGAATTAGGTGATTCCTATTCAAGTCTCAGCTCAAAGCCTTAACATTCTATTGCCCCCAGGCCAACTAATCCTCCCCTCCCTCACATTTCAGACACTTCCTACCCATCCAGCTACAAAGGATCTCAACTTTAGCTGCACATCCTGGGCTCACTACATCAGAATCTTTGGGAGTAAGACCCAGGGATCAGCATTTTTTTTAAACTCCCAAAGTGATTTCAATGTTTGAGGAACACTTTTTTTCCTTCCCAAATCAAAGACCCCTAACAAGCAATGAGGATTCTTTTATTTTCTTACAAACTTAGTGACTAGACCAAAATGAATAAACACATAGAGCCCGGGCAATTTACTTTCTTCAAAATGTTTTTTTTCAATCACTAATGAATTCTTTAGAAAATAACTTCGGAGAATAGAAAATCTGCTTAATCTAAATCAACCTGTTTTAATATTGTTATCAGCAAGTTTAACTTTTATATTTCTGAATATATTCATCTTTTGCAAACCACCTCCCATCACTTTTAATGACGGAGGCGGGTTATCCCTCCAAAATTGCTATTTTTAAATGTGATTTGACATAGCTTATTCATTTAGTGCAACAAGAAATTTTTTTTTAAAGAAATAAAATTAGCAAGTTCCCTTCCAAAACAGTCAACTGAAATAGAGACAGATAAGCGCCTAGCAGAGAGCCCTATCCGTACTCAGTAATGGCAGCTATTATTATGTGCTTCCTTTTTCAGAAAAGGCTGCTGTATTATCTCACCTCATGCAAAGGCATCTGGAGACTATAAGGGATAATAAATGACTTTCCAAGTGCCTTCTTCATTTATATACAGTCTGTGAGACTTCCTGATCTCATTCATCATAAACAGAGAGGTGTTTGCAGTTTTAGAAAATGACAAGCTATCCATGACAGACAAGAAACAGTCTGTTCCATCTTTTCTCGCTCCATTTGGCTAACGCTATGTAAGGCCTGCTTTTCCAGACCCTTTTTTCCCCCCACAGAACTATGGCTCTACATTTATCCCAAAAGTTTTCAGATTGACTGTTCTGGGGCTAGCCAGCTACTTCTTATGTTTATTCACGTAACTCCACTCCTGCATACACTGTTCTCTCTGATCCTGTGATGCTCCTAACCCCAGCTGAGTCATTCAACCAGTCATTTTATTGCCTCCACCAGAATGACTTTCTTCAGGCAGGGTGCCTCTGTCTAGCATTAAGCCACAACATTTACTTATGCCATAGCATTTCTTAGTATCTGTGGCACTAATCAACTCTAGTGTTTCAGGCATGAATTATAATGACAGCTCTGCATGTTATGACAGCAAACTTTGAATTAGCTGCAAGTCTCAAAAACAAGTATTTTAATTTTTATCTGACTCAGGTTGAACTTAAAAAATCATTTTGGTTTCAACCCTTGGTTCCACACTTTAGTAAGCATCACGCATGAATTCAATAAGGTTTTTGTTTTGACAACTAAGACATTGGTAGCATGGGCTCATATTGTAACCACAACTTTCACTGACTAGATCTCCAGGAACTGGTAAGAGACACACAAAACCAGACATTCTTGGCATAGACTGGCTAGTTATTACTATTCCTCACCTCTTTCTCTTGGGCACCCCCATTTCCCAGCTGCCCTCATACTTAGGTGTGATCAAGTGACTGCATCCTGATGTTGGAAGTCATATGTTGAAAATGGCAGAGCACAAGATCAAAGAAGCATGGGTGCCAGAATTACCATTTGGAAGACTTGCTGCCTATCAGGAATAGTCCTTTTGGACCTTACATAAAAATGGTTTTGTAAAG